TGTGGGTGACCAATCCCTATGTATATTTGTAGGGATGGAAAAACAAAGCCGAGTTAGAGAAGCAATATATATATTCTCTAAAAACAAGAGAATTGTGCAGTGAATGGATTGCACACGAACAGGCAGAATGGATATTGCACAGTTAAGAAAGTTAAATCATAAGTTAAATATATTGTTGTTTAATAAGCGTAATGTTTGTGCAGTTATTTCTCCACAATTTGGTTCATTTTGTAATTCTCTGTCTAATAATGGCGTTTACATCTTCCCTTCTCGAGATCCCACCAGGCATCATATGATGTTGATATTTCAGGCAGCCTTTAAACGCAGCATAACATCTGCCAGGACGTAGTGGGACGATCCAGTGAAGGACAGGACCCGCCCTCCTCCTCCTCCTCCTCCTCCTCCTCCTCCTCCTGCTGCACTTGTCAAAGGCCACTGATCGCACAATACATCACAGTTGTGGCCACAGACTCTGAACACACCGGGGGAACCTGGCTCCTCAAACTAAAGCGCACAGGCTGGACACTTTCTGAACTCTCTCCTCGTCAGTAGACGCCACCATGTTGCCTTTCAAGAGAACTTTTGAGGGCGAGAAGCAGCAGCTGCAGCAGCTCAACAGCAGACTGGCTCAGTATCTGTGCAGGACCAAGCAGCTGGAGCAGGAGAACGCGCATCTGATGAGCGAAATCAACAAACTCAGGCAGGCGAAGACTGCGGGATGGGAGCCGAGGTACAAGGCCGAGATGCGGGACTTGAGGGGGATGTTGGGGCAACTGTCGATGGAGAAGTCCCAGGCGGAGATGGAGAGAGAGAAGCTGTGGAGGGAGCTGCAGATGATCCAGGGTCTGTGCAGCGAGCAGACCGAGGTGTGCCGGGACATCAGCGGCGAGCTGCAGGGCTGCGAGAAGGAGCTCCACCTCGCTCACCAGACCAACAGTGGCCTCCAGCAGCGGCTATTCCAGCTGGAGAGCCAATATAAAAGCATGGAGGAGGCGCACAGACAGGAGATGGAGCGTCTCCGGCGTCAGGTGGACTCCCGGGTCGTGCCCATCATTACGCAAACTTACCGCGGACCTCCGGTGGCCTCCGTGGAGGATGTGCAAGAGTACGCGCGGGGTCTGTCCGAGGGCTGGGTCGAGACGTTTGATATGTACCAGCAGAAGGTGGAGGAGATGGAGCAGTCGATCAGAGAGGACCAGGCGAGGCTGGGTGACCTGCAGAGGGAGAAGATGCTGTACGCGTCAGAGTTGGACAAATTACGCACGGAGGCTGAAAAACAGGGCCACGCTCAGCTGTGTCTGGAAGAGCAACTGATGCACATGCAAGAAAAATTCCACGCGGACTTGGGTGAATATCAGGTGAGAACACGATGAGAGTGTAGGACAGATACAATCTATAATAATTAAAAGGAGAACTGAATCCAGGGTCGTTTTGAAGGTTTATATGTATTATGAAGCCCCTCAATACACATTTTATAAAAAGAAAACACAGTAATATTCCATTTATCCCACTGGGCCATGGGGGCGGCCACTCCCTCGTCTGCGCCACACCCACTAACGCAGCTGCAGCAGTGGCTGAAGGTTTATAAGGGGACCATCTCATTATTGAACATGATTCTAAATAGTTAAACAATCACAAATCAAAGTTGAAATTTGCAACTGGACTAATATATGATGTGTGACCAGTAACTAACCTCACTCTGGCTTCACCCTGAATGCAACCCTCCCTCTGTGCTTAGTGACATTACCAACATTAAGTGGTGCCTGACACATTTGTGTTCCCAGAACTGTTGGAATCATGGATCGTGCGTGCAACATTTGACCCCAGAAGGACTGAATAGCTTGAGCAGCTGAAGGACACACTATGTGTCCCCCCCCCCCCCCCCCC